TGAGAATAAATAACAATCTTTATTTATTTAATCATTTTTGTGTGCTGGCTAAACCAAATTCCTATCAAAAACTAATGTTTTATCTGCACATTACTTCCTCAGAATAATTTATCTGTATTCTGTCTGACATTTTTGGCAACTGTCAACTTAACTGTCAAATAGGAATTAGCTGTTTTGCCATGAATAATTAAATATGAATTATTTTATTTCTATAATTCCAATGCATTAATAAATCGATATGATTTAATGAATTTCTTTTGACCCATTGCAATTTGCGTGCCTCCTAATTTCTTTATTAGCTAACTTATTTCGTTACAACTAATCATATACTTTGCCCTTGCTCGTAATAATGAGCGTAGTTGGAAAGAAGTGCGAATCAATATCGCTTACTGAAACAAACAGAGACGATTTAATTCCGAGTGAAATAACTCCCGACGACGTGTTACGGCTGAATAAAATAACAGATACATATTTGTGCAGTCCTGAGGCAAATATATATGATATAGATTTTACCCGGTTTAAGATTCGTGATTTGGAAACTGGTACAGTGTTATTTGAGATTGCGAAGCCTCCTACGGATTTCGGTGTTGATAATGAAGGAGCTGAAGACGCTTCAGAGGACGCTCTTGATCCCAATGCTGGAAGATTTGTGAGATATCAATTTACACCACAATTCCTAAAATTAAAAACTGTTGGTGCAACGTAAGTTTTCTACGAGTAATATAATTTTAAAAAGTACCAGAATAGTGATATATCTATGGAGAGATCAAGAATTTCTTTGCTTTTAATTTACTAAGTAAATTAATTACAATTGTATATTTCAGAGTTGAATTCACAGTAGGCGCTCGTCCAGTAAATCATTTCAGAATGATTGAAAAACATTTCTTCCGTGATACATTGCTGAAGACGTTTGACTTTGAATTTGGCTTCTGCATTCCATTTTCCAGAAACACCTGTGAGCATATTTATGAATTTCCAACACTGCCACCTGATCTAGGTAAGGTAGAATGGAGTGTTGTTTAATTTATTTATATTTACCAGCTTTAGCTCTCACCTCTGTCCATATGGTATTAAAAAATTGAGTAGCCTATGTGTTCTTTCAGACTATGCTATATATCTGTGCCAAATTTCATCCAGATCTGTTCAGCTGTTTTGGCTACAAACTCTAACAAACATCCGTCCAAACATTTGCATTTATAAAATTAGCAAGATTAAAAAAACCATGTATAGGTACTGGCTAGCATTTGATTAGAAAACTTTTTTTTTCAGTTGATGAAATGATTGCTGCACCATTTGAAACTTGCTCAGACAGTTTCTATTTCGTCGACAATCATCTGGTGATGCATAATAAAGCAGATTATGCATACAATGGAGGAATTAACAAGTAAATGTGATATTCAGTTTATTGACTATTGGCACAGTTTTATTGTACACAAAATTTTATGCAAATTCAAACACAAAACTGTACGGAATTTAGTTTACCTAAATGGGTAGAACTTTTATTTAGAAGTAATTTTTGTGTAACAAATATTTTGTTTAATACATATAGGCCTTTTTCATTATTTTGGTAGCTTAAGGAGAGCTCTGTGTTATATAGTGCCCTCCACCACATTGCTACACTAAGGGCCTGTCCCACCAAATTGTAACTTGTCTGGTAACAATCCAATGTGTAAAATGTGTGATGGAAATATCAGTTTTTGTTCCCTTATCTGACAGTAACGTCATTTTTAAGCTATCTAAGCCTCTATCAGCCAGTGATTGGACACCCCAAAGTGTCAGTCCTAACAAATTGTAAATTGTCTGATAACAATTAAACATCTAAAAATATGTGATCGAAATATCGGATTGTTACCTTATCTGTCAGTTACATCATTTTTAAGATATCTGAGCCTCTATCAGCCAGTTGTGGGACAGGACCTAATTATTGTATTTTGTGAATCAACTCTCGATCTTCCGATATATTTGAAAACCTAAATTTAAAATATTAAAAACATTCCATATTTGTGATTTGTGATACATTCCAATTTATAATATTTTAACTTAAGTAATAAATGTCCACTCAAGCACTAATGACTTAATGTGTTCAATTTTTACACGAGTGCTATTTTACACTATCTTTTAATAAAAAGCACAATGTTGAGAGAAAGTTAAATGTAATTGTCATAATAATGAAAAGTTGATTGATTAATTCTTATCATATTTCTGTGATTCAGTTACATGTCTTTAGAGAAATGTGACTCTTTCAAACATATTGTAATTTTTTTTTTATTTAAATGGCAATTATTAACTGCTGTTATCCCATTGATTGTAAGAACTGTGGGTAATAGACTTTTGTAATATTCTTAAACTACCCACAATATTTTTTTCCTTTATTGATGTTATTTGCAAGTGTGTGCATTTTTTTTTAATAATGTAAAACTGAAAAATTCAATTCAAATGTTCCACATTTTATTTTGTTTGAATGGAATTATTATATGTTTATAGTTTAGTTAAGGCGGGAAATTTTGTTTTTAAGTTTTTAAAATATTGGAAATGATCTCATGACAAATATGAGTCTTATACTCTTTCATTAAATGAAATTTAATCTTATTCCTTTTTAGACATTTAGTTTTTTATTATATTTACTTAATTTAACCCTTAATATGATAGTGTCCAGTGTGATAAACATGTAATAAAAAAATCTAATGAACTAAGAGAATTATGTGACATTTTTATTTTTGTGTGTTGGTAACATGTAATATTTTTTGCTATATAAACTTCGTCAAATTAAGGGGTGCAAGAAAAACATTCAAACATTCCTAAAAATTCTGTCATTTTTTTTCTATGGCAACACATGAAATAGACTAAGGTATTTAACGCTCGGACAGATTAATCGAATTTAGTAATATTTCATAGTAAATTCTAGATGTTATTTTAAAGTAACTTAAAATCGTTGATGGACAAATACTATGCAAAATTTTTCAATTAGCATGAAGAAGTAATAATGTTTGATTTTTTTTTTTAATTAATAGTATTTTGCTGCCTAAATTACATGTTTACAATCATTATATTATTATCGATATATTTTTATTCTCATTTAATATGAAATGAATGATTTATGGTCACGAAAAATCTAGTCTAATAATTCTGAATCCTATCGAATTTTAAAGAAAGTTATAAAACAATTACCTAACAGAGATGGTATCTCAGATTATGTATTTCATTGTCTAGACATTGTATGGAGTTGTTTAAATTTATTTTAGTTGGATAAATACGATTGTAATTTTGAATGTAATAGGCGATATGCATATGACACCAAATTGTACCAAACTTTTTAAGTATACTTTATTACTTTAAAAACATTCGTGCAAAGATTTTTTTTTAATATAATGTGATTTAGTGGCAAAATTTAATCATTAAAAAGTGTCTTTTTTCAAATTCCCTCTCAATATACCAAAAAGGGCGGCAGATTTTAAATGAATCTTAGTATAAATTTGAAATGTCAAAAATCTCATATATGCCGTCCAACTTGTTTCTCTAACAAGTTTTTCCTCTTTAGAAAGGGTTTCTTAAATTGGACCCAAAGGCTATTAGCCAAATATGGCTAACTTCTATGCCTTACTTTGTGTTTAAACCTTACTTGTAAAGTTACTGACCTCTATGCGCAGTTCACACTTGGCCAGTATTGCAAACAAAGCACGGATTTTATTGCCTCACTAGCGCAGGTTATTGTTCACATAATACTAGTCCAGTTACTGAGCGTTACTGTCTAACTGTACTGGCTAAGTGTGAACCACGCACTATCGATATGATTTTCGTCATATTAGCGCCAAAGATCTTGGAAACTAGATATAGTTTTATCTGAAATAATTTCAAGCAAAGCTATGATTTCCAAATAGTTGTTCGTATGTTTATAGAGGTCAGTTAATAAACTGTATAAATAAATTGATGAAATAATTTATTTTTGTCTTTAGTACAGCCAAATACAACAATGGTGTGTTATTTTTATGTGCCGTGTTATGATTTATTATTGTAACTAGTGTTAGTGCAAACATTGAATGTAGCATCCCACCCAGTAGTGTTAGTTAACAATGCTTAATAAATAAATTATTGTTTATTTGAATTATTATTTACTAACGTCCGCCTCCGAGTATGGTCTGCTTGAATTTTAAAAAAATGTGTTCTAGACTATCCTCTAAATCTATGCCAAATTTTATCAGGATTCATTCAGTAGTTTAGGCTACACTCTCTAACATCCATCCATCTTGATATAACTTTGGCATTTATAGTATTAGTAAGAAGTAAGATTGATGTACCTAAATCAATCTATTATGTACTTTGGAGATTATTGCAGAAAACGCATTTATTTAAACATATACGTGATTATTTTTTAAATAAAAAAAATGAATTTTTTTATTGAATTATTTATTCCACATAATACAAGTATAATAAATGTAGATATGATATTTGTAATTATCCCATACGATAGTAATTATTCTTCTAACGGCCGCATACTGAAACGAATACACTTAACTGCGTAAGCGTCGCTTACAATGACAGATGTCATAATTTTTATGGAATCTAGAGTTTAAGCGTAGCCTTATCATTTAAAACACCGCTGTCGTATCGGTATTCGGCTGTAAATCAATAACAATTCAGGACAGTTTAATGCGTTTACAGTTGGTAAGTAGCGTTCTGATTGGCCGTCAAGTAACGGGCAGAGTAAACGCTAAACCAATGAGTGTCACTTGCCGTCGCAACTGTCCGACTGTACTGGCTAAGTGTGAACCGGCCATAAATTAGTTGAAAAGCAAATAATAATTTTAGTTGAGTTCGATAATTATTTAAACCGAATATCGATAGTTCAAAATTATTTGCTATGTGTGTTTGTTTTGTCACTACGATACCTGTCTATTAAGTACGGCATTTGCCTTCACACAAATTGAATTCGATATTTCATATGCGACATTTATCAAACTAATCTTATTTAGACAAACTATAGCTTACCACATAAACATATGTATATTTCTATTTTCTTATAGATTTATTGTTTAGGAAGGTATAATTATTTGAGAAGAAAATTACTTGGTACAAAATTGTTGGATTTTAAATAAACCCTTATGCAGTTATCAAAAGTTTATTTGTAGGTATAAAATTTTCATATTTTACATCCTGATTTGTTTCTTCAGGAAAAATTTATAATTTAAGCAATTATGGTTTAAGAAAGTGTTTATATAAGCGATTGGTATTGCAGCGCATTGCTTCTTAAAATATATATCGTCTATAGAAATGGCATTTGATGTACAAACATCGGAATATTGGAATTTTCTCTTTGGTTGTGCTTTGTTATAAATATGGAATTCGTACTGCCACTTTGAAGCACTCACCGCGGTGCCAACAAGCTGAGCGGCTAAATACATCATTTTTGCATTAGAATCAATTTTTAAATGAATAAAAAAATTATATGTGCCCATTAAAACTAAATGGAATATTTTTTTATAATCTGTGGTATTCACTATTGACATTTCTGTATCAACTTGCGCTTGACGATGTTCAGGATGACAGTCTGCGAAGTGGCTGTCCAGTTGCTTAAATTTACCTACAACAAACTTTTTTATTACATACTAGCTGTTGCTCGCGACATCGCCCGAATTAAATTAAAAAAAAAATGGCCTATGTCACTCACAGATGATTTACCTTTCTATCGGTAAACTAATTTTGAAAATTGGCCCAGTAGTTTTTAAGTTATTTCAATACATACAAAAATAAAAATCTGCCCTCTTTATAATATTAGTATAGACTATAGATAAATGCGCCCATTACATTAAATCGGCAGACCAGGGCATGCACAGAAAAAGGATATTTCCCTTATCCTTAACCAGCTAAAATTAATCTTATAATATAATAAATGCGAAAGTTTGGATGTTTGTTAGAAATTATAGCCTAAACTACTGATCGGATCCTGATGAAATTTGGCATAGATGTAGAGAATATTCTGGAAGAATACATAGGCTACTTTTGTTTTTTTTTATTCCATGCGAAAGTAGTCGCGGGCGAAAGCTAGTAACAAATAAAATAAAACGTTACCTCTCCAAGAGCACCTTCCGAATAAAGCCAGAAGTGGGCAAGCCATTTCATTAAATGGGCATTCTTTTAAATGGCTTCCCATAGCGTTGGAAGTGAAATGTAAACTGCATCCATCTTGATGATTCGGACATTTAAGTCTATTAAGTTGACCATACGTTTGATTTACCTTAAAATAAATCGATAATTTTAATTAAAAACAAGCTGTCGCCCGCAAAATTCGTTAGCGCAAATTCAGACCACCCGTTACGCCATTTTGACAGCGCGGAATTAAACAAAAATAGCCTATAATATGCCGCTCCATGGAAGTACCCTCTAGTGAAAGTCCTGTCGAAATCGGCCCAGCCGTTTCGGAGATTACTCGGATAAACGCGGCTTGCGGACAGACAGACAAACAATTTTTAAATACGATTTTCGTTATCAACAACACAAATACATCATCTTCCCGAAGTCTGGATATTTTCTTCAAACAGGCACTCTAATTCTGACATATGCATAAGTATAGACTAGCTGTGTGCAGCTACAACTGAAGAAAACTCTATGTTATTGCTAAACGCGTATTGAGTGACAGCCCAAGCCGAGGTCCCCTCTCAGGACTCCATGGAGCGTCCACCGAAGCGATCTAAGAGCTCGACGGCCTCCCAATCCGGTAATAATAACGAAGTAGCAGCTCGTGCCGAGGCTCCTGAGGAAGCCCTAGAGCTTAGTTACTCATAAACGAGGTTTAGGCTAAGCGTCATCTGCGCTGGGCCACCTCAAGCCCCGTGAATCTGTAAATGCCTCTTCAATGCAAACAGTGGCCATTCAGTCACAAAAAAAATCACAAAAAAAATATATGTAATAACATAGATTTTTTTTGTGAATGTAAACAATAGTTTACATTTTGTAAAACTTTTAATTGCAATAAAAAAAAATGCACGAATGACAAAATCCTTTGCCATTAGATAAGAATTTCTTTGGCAATCTTTCTTTGCAGATATTGGCTTGTAGTTTTTGTTCCTTTCCCACGATTGGATGAGCTTGCGACCAATTTATTGACCCACTAAATTAAATAGCATTTTATATAACCATTTAAAAAACACGCGTGCCGCAAGTGTAGGGCTTTAAAAATAAATAAAAAAATTGTTGTAATTGCTGACATAACTGTGTGTTTACGCTTTATTAATTTATTTATTTATTGCAATTAAATTATACAAACATCTATACAAAGTAACAATAATAAGTACCCCTTTGGGCGTGTAATATAATGAGTACAAATGCAGCGAAACAAACTTTGGGAACAACAAGATAATGCACCTAAAACCATACCATATTTGCAACTAAACACTTTATAACACAAAAACAACAGAACGAAACAAAATACTATATTAGTACAGAAGTATAGATAGATGTTATTTCTATAATCAATAAGTAAATGAAAAATATCTTACCATTGGTTTATGTTCCTTAACAGTCATTTTTTTGGTAGCATTCATTAAATTGTCCATGTACATTTCAAGGGTTCTGTTTCTCACCGTGGTTATTGTTCTACGGCAGTTCGACACTCCGCAAATACCGCTGTTTATTTTACAATCCTTACAAGAACTGTGTCCACCAACACATTGATATATGTCCAATCCAAATTGATTACCGCACCCCGGACAATTGAGTTCGGAGCCCAGTCCACTAGCATTTTGTACTCTAAAATAAGAATTAGTATAGTCATATTTTAAACATTATTTTCATCATCATCTCCCCAGACTTAGCTTACTCCCGTAGGGTCAGCGCGCCGGCTTTTCGTCCTCCAAAGCACTCTATCATCCGTCATCTCAGTCATCACTCACTTCTTCATCATGTCACCTTTCACGCAATCCATCCATTTCTTTCTAGGTCTACCTCTACCGATGTACCTCCACATTCATAACTAACGTCCATCATGTTACATACGATTCATCCCTTCTCATAACATGCCACTATAAACTTATTTTACTACATTATTCCAGAATTCTGGTTGAATCCAGTTGTGTACAACTAAGTAAACTTAAATTAGAGCTCATACTGTGCATTCCAGTATGGGTTTTGCTGAACTGGAATAATGTAAACAGGGTATAATTTTTATTTTTTTACCTGGTTACTTTATTTGTTTGATTTAAAGTCATTGGTGGGGCCGAAGGTATCACCCTAAAATCAAATAAAAAGATATGACATTCAATGATTATATCTTATTTTTTACTTTAAATTAATAATTTTAAAAAAATATTAGGCTGCTTATGTGTTCTACCAGACCATGTTCTACATCTGTGCCAAATCTCATTTAGATCCGTGCAATTTAGGCACAAACTTGCATGAACATCCATCCAAACTTTTGCATTTATAAAACTAGTAAGGAAATAAGATACCAACCTTTGTGGTTCATTTACAGATGGTGCAATTGGTACATTTGGTGTAAGGACATTGTTTTGAGCAACATTATATCTCTGATATGAGGAACTTATCGAGGTCACAGTAGGTTGCTGTTCTCTTGTAGTTGTAGCTTTTAGATTCGGATATAAATTATTTTGACCATCTCTAGATGTTCCAGGAGCTGTTCTTCCACTACAAAGAGTAATGTAATTTTTTAAAAGTTACAAAAAATTATTAGTACAATTTCTTGTTACAATTTTTCTTATGGAGGGTTCACACAGAATGATTCTTCAATCTATCAATATACTCTATGTTTCCTATTTCCCTGTACACATCCATTACATTCAATTTATCTTTAATTCTATACATGATCCAATAAAACTATATATAATTTAAAGTTTTTAATATTTGTACTAAAAATATAAAGAGGAACGATTTGTATATTTGCATGAATGAAAACAACTCAAAAACTACTGTAATGAATTCAAAATTTCCTAATATTATAAAAAGTGGAAAGATTTATATGTTTGTATGTATCAAAATAGCTCAAAAACTACTGTGATGCTTTCAAAAGTTCTTAATATTATAAAGAGGAAAGATTTGTATGTTTGTATGTATCAAAATAACTCAAAAACTACTGTAACGATTTCAAAATTTCATGCATCATTAAAATTCGCAAGCAACAGCTGGTATAAAATATATTTTTAGTACCCTATGTGTTCTTTCAGGCTATGTTCTATATAAATACCGAATTTCAGTAAGATCTGTTAAGTCATTCTGAAGGTATATATTAACAAACATCCATACAATCATAATAATATACATCATAAAAAGTAAGATTACCTTGTTGAAGCTAATTGTTCTTTTCTCAAAGTCTCCGCTTGTGTTTTCAACATCTCCTGGCATTTTTGCTCATATAATTGCCTTTGCTTTTCTAAAGACTTTTGCAAAGCAGCCTGGATATTAGCATCCCTAAAAGAAATAAAAAATGTTCAGTTAATGATTGCATATTATATAATAAATGATTTTTAAAAAGATATGACCATAATATCATTATTTATGCATCTTAAATGAATAGAAACTGACAAATTAATAGATACACATGAAACCCTAACAAATATCGATTACACAAAGAATCTGCACAAAATAAACCTTCTTATGACTAATTTGGGACAATTATTCTAATATTTCAGTAGTAACAATTTTATTAAACAATTAAAATATAATGATAACTTTATCTAACCGCTGTTAAATCGATTCGTTTCCAAGTTTATCGCAAGAAAACAACCTCATTATGTTTTGTCGAGAACAAGTTATATCAGCTTTATCCACTGAGGCATATGTTTGCTTTTGTCGCTAAAAAGTTCATTGTTTAGTTATGCTAAAATGCTAAAGAATTACCTTTTCTTTCTCTCGTTTTCCGATGATTGTTCATTACCCATTTTGTAAACGACAAGTTCTCTTCAATTTAATCTGAGTGCTTTTATTGTTCAATGTTTCTAAAAAAAATTCTATAAAATTTCTATGTTACTATTGTTATTAAAAGATGTTTAATATATATGAGTACTGATTTAACCAATTATTTAACTAGAATACGCTACGCAACCACTTATACGATCATTTCAAGAAAGTTTACATAAAATCATTAGAAATCGAAAACACCCTGCCATTGACAAAGGATTTCCTCTATGGTTCTTAAAATAGTTTAAAGGATGTGGGCATGGAAGTGTTTGTATACATATTAGAAATAAAATTTAAGAGGTACCTACAATTGATACACTACGTTGTGAAGTTGGGAATAGGCATTTTTGCGAAAAAAATCTTGGTCTTTTGATTCTAGTAGCAACCACAGATGTTTGCATAACTTTTATTATCTCTCTGATTGTTGTAATTCTGTCACTGTCATGCTTTTGTCAGATTGACTGCTTTGTGACATATTGATTAGACATGGAAGTCGGCCCTGAACCGGATTAAAAGATCAGTTCACGTCACATTAGTCTTAAGCTGTCGAACTGCGGCTCCACAACTAAAGTAGTAGCTTATGGCTCAACGTAAAATACATAAAGATCTATATTTAATGAGCCGCGTCTAGTCTGGTAACTGCGACTGGCGCAAATAATACATCTGCGTAATTACAAAAAGGTTGACATACGAGCCACTTCACTGTATAAGTCTTCAGTGAACCGGCTTGCAGATCGGCTCAATTTGTCCTTGCATAGATGTATTATTTTCGGAAGCTGCAAGTCATCAGATAGCTCGCCGCTCCACAGCTCCTATAATTAAAATACATCACGTTCATGTGTGATTTCCTAATTTGGTGTTGAGCCGCAGCTCAACGTTTCAAGAAAATGTGATCTGATGTTGAACCGGTCAACGATAAGAACTGATTTGCACACGTCTATAATTGATTAATCCTTCTGATAAAAAATTAATAGTTTTACTGAATTTATTTTCAATTCATAATAGCGTATTGTAGTCACAGGTGTTAATTTTAGTTGTTGAAAGATTAGAAAAAATGCCGCACTTTAGGATTGAAACAAATGTCCCCAAAAGCAAAATTCCTCAAGATTTTTTTACAAAAGCTGTGCCAGTTCTTGCTAAAGCGCTGGGTAAACCTGAACAGGTAAATATTATGTATTTATTTTTACAAATACATTCTATATCCCTAGTTATGATTGTAAACATTTATTGTACGAGTGTGACCGTGGCTCCCGGGAATTGCTACTACGTAACAACGTTACAAGTAACAAATGTCTCTTGGTTCAAGTTACTGCATTGCAATTTTATTAACAGAATTTAAATTTCGAATGTTTTATTTTTACACCTTTTTTTTAGTATTGCGTTGTCTCCGTAATTCCTGATGTACCAATGAGTTTTGGTGGTAGTACTGACCCATGTGCCATAGCTAACTTGATGTCTATTGGATCCCTTGGAGTTGAACAAAATAAGAAGCATGCTAAAGTTTTATTTGAACTGGTTGAGAAGGAGTTAGGTGTTCCACAAGATAGGTAATGTATTACATTAAAAGTTTGATATTTGTTAAAAATGTCACTTATTCTTATTTGTGTTATAGCTTAAATGATGAATCTTTTAGTAGGAGGATCTATATGACCTTATGATGAACTTGAGATAAGGGGTATCTGCAAATAATGGCTTATATTAATAGCCTGATTTATCTGTAGAGGATCTTTATCTTTTTTGCTTTAATAACATAAATATTGCCTTGTCATAGAATGTGATTTTCATATAACAATATTGTATATGTTAACTATGAAATATTGTCAGTCATCTTGGATTAATCAGTATTCATAAAATTTTAATATGTAAAGTATTAGAATCTATTTTAAATAAAATACTATTTTTAATAATGTTAATAATATAAAGCAATATTATATTCATTTGGATTAAATCTTGTTACAGGATGTACATCACTTTCCAAGATGAACCTACAGGCAATGTTGGCTTCAAAGGCACTACTTTCCACTCTATATTTGGATAATCTTTATCAATTAGTTTTAAGCGTAACCATGTTCCTTATTACATTGAAATTGGCCTAAATCATCATTAAAAATCATTTTACATTTGTTTATTCATCTAGTTATTATATGTGTGATAGAATCAATTATTAAAATTATCCTTATAAAAAATTGTTTTATTTATTGAATGTTCGTTGTTTACCTTATAAATGAAACCATGAAAATAGACTTCTATGGAAAATGCACTCAATGTATACATAAAACTTCTAGGGTATTTTTTAACATATTTAGGTATAGAAAGGTTTCAATCAATGGGATGTAACAGCTATTTGATACACGTAATAAAATGAAGCCAAAACTTATTAAGGACAGAGCAATCTCATTTTTATAAATACCCACCTACATATAGTGCTTGGATATATGTTTCAAAATAATTTGTTGATCTATAAAGTAATTTTATTTCAATTTAGTAGGTTCAATTTACACACATACAATTTCAAAATATAAATAAACCTATTGGTGTCATAGTTTTCGAAAATAAAAACAAACAACAAAAATCTTTTATCTATGGTTGTTGTTTGTCAAGCGCTTTGGGGTTAAGTGTCAAACTGTCATTCATTATTTTCGTTAGAAATATTGGATAATGTGATTATTTTTCTATGGTGTAATAGAGAAAAATATATCGGAGTATTAGCTAATGATACAGAAAACTATTTATTTTAGAGTATTCTGTGAGATCAGATAAACTGGAGTGATTTTTGGTTTACACTTGTGAAACAGCGTGTTATTCATTATGGATGAACACAGGAGTGTTGAAGATACACCAGCTTCTCAGAGGCTGACTAATGATGACTTTAGAAAACTCTTGATGACTCCTAGAGCAACCCCATCGGGGGGTGGAGCACACCCTGTGGGCTCTGTGCGAGAAGCTATGGCAAACGCTGGGTAGGTTCTGCTTCCGCTGATCTGGTATATTATATATCTCATGTAAACTAACTAAAATGCTATTGAAAATGTTATTGACTTTTGTCTTCTGGTTTTGTTGGTAGATATTAGTGATTCTCATCGGAGAATAACAAAATATAACCTTTCCAATACTTGCAAACAACATCTTTCTCTGTCTCTCATATGTTTGGTACCTAAATATCAGTCATCTTATGAATTATATTTTTTATTTACTTTCATTCTATGTTTACTTATTATTATTACATTTTATTTATTTGTTATTAGTGTTATGTACTATTATTTGATAATTTTTTGTTACACATTTACAAATAATGTTACAATATTTTTATTTGAATATTAATTACAAATTTCAGATCAATGCCACCTCCTACTGAGAACAAGAGTGAGTTACGTCGCAAAAAGAAATCATATTACGCAGCTTTGAAGAAGCAAGAAGACAATAAGTTAGCAGAACTTGCAGAGAAGTACAGAGACAGAGCTCGAGAAAGGAGAGACGGTCTCAATGAACTTGGACCTACTGATCCTACAAGCAACACTAGTAGTGCATATAGGTGATCATTTTCATAATTTACTTACTAATATTATAAACGCAAAAGTTTAGATTGATAGATGGATGTTTGTGACATGATGAAATTTGTCACAGATGAAGAGTATAGTCTGGAAGAACTCGTACAGCCTTACAAATAAACATGGTATGAAGGTAAACTTAGGAATAAACTGAGTATAAGCAAATATTAGTACAAATTTAGCTTCTATTCAGTTTAACTATTTCTTTATTTTTATTTTTAGACACAAGACTTATGTTTACCTTAGTTTATTTTTATGAAGCTGATAGGCTAAATCATCATCATCATCACCAGTTCACTATATGTCCCCACCGAGGGGCTCGGAGCCTACCCTAAATTAGCTTTATTATTCAACCACGCTGGCCCACTCCGGGTTGGTCGACTTCACACATATCTTTGAATTTCTTCGCCGATATGTGCAGGTTGCATCACGATGTTTTCCTTCACCGTAAGAACGTCAGGTAAATTATGTACATATGAAAATTCGAAAAATCGAAAATCACATTGTTACATGGCGGGACTCAAACCCAAGACCTGTAGATTACAAGTCAAGTGCTTAAACCACTGAGCCACCGACGCTCACGATAGGCTAAATGTTTCAGTCATATTTAATTCTAAGATAGAGTTGATGCGAAAAGCTAGTGATCCTATAAATTTTAAATGTGCTTTGAGAAAAAGCAGAAAAGCTTAGAAGCAGTCATGATTTAATAAATTGTTTAAATTGTTATGAGATATCCATTCTTGTGATGGCCGCAACTACTTTAGACTAGACCATTGATGGAGTTGAAACTATTTGGTGTCATCACCAGACTCATATATGATTAATCAATATTTAACTAGTTTTTAATTTTATATTGTTTCCAGAGCAGTAGCTCCTGATTTGAAATCAGGAATGGATGCCAAAGAAAGAAGAAGACAGATGATTCAGGTATGGCTTTAATCTTACTTCTTACTAATATTATAAATACGAGATTTTAGATGGATGGATGTTTAGAGTTTGTTTGCTAAACGGCAGAACTGATCTCAATGAAATTTATATATATATAGTTCTCTACATATATCTTTAGTCTGGAATAACACATAGATTACTGGCTTTTGTTTCTTTTTAATTCCACAGACGGAGTCGCGTGCGATAGCTAGTCTATACATATAATAACTCATATTTCGTGAACGTATTGTCATTTCTGGATGGGTGAGACCAGTTTGATAGGACTTGTGGATGCGGTAATAATAAAGTCTTAATTTCTTAGAGAATAATAAACAAACCTTTTTTATTTTAAATCATAGACAATTATTTATTAGACATATATTGTTGTCCGGTTGTCACTGAGTCTACACTGCGTCTGTTAGCTCTCGCTAAAATAATTCGAAAACTTGTATAAAAGTGATCAATCGAAGT